AATTGGTAATAATGTAACTTAAAGCTGTATTTATATTTGGTAATAATGTAACTTAAAGCTGTATTTATATTTGGTAATAATGTAACTTAAAGCTGTATTTATATTCGGTAATAATGTAACTTAGAATTATAATTATAATCGTTAATAATGTAACTTAAAGCTATATTTATAATCGATAATAATAATGTAACTTACAGCTGTATTTATATTCGGTAATAATGTAAGTTAAAGCTATATTTATAATAGTTATTAATGTAACTTAAAGCTGTATTTATATTCGCTAATAATGTAACTTAGAATTATAATTATAATCGATAATAATGTAACTTAAAGCTGTGTTTATAATCAGTAATGATGTAACTTAAAGCTATATTTATAATCGGTAATAATGTAACTTAAAGCTGTGTTTATAATCGGTAATAATAATGTAACTTACAGCTGTATTTATAATCGGTAACAAAGCAACTAAAAGCTGTATTTATATCGGTAATAATAATGTAACTTACAGCTGTATTTATATTCGGTAATAATGTAACTTAAAGCTATATTTATATTCGTTAATAATGTTATTAACGATTATAAATATAGTTTTAAGTTACATTATTACCGAATATAAATACAGCTTTAAGTTACATTATTACGGATTATAAACACAGCTTTAAGTAACATTATTACGGATTATAAATACAGCTTTAAGTTACATTATTACCGAATATAAATAAAGCTTTAAGTTACATTATTACCGAATATAAATACAGCTGTAAGTTACATTATTATTACCGATATAAATACAGCTTTTAGTTGCTTTATTACCGATTATAAATATAGCTGTGTAACTTAAAGCTATATTTATAATCGGTAATAATGTAACTTAAAGCTGTGTTTATAGTCGGTAATAATAATAATGTAACTTACAGCTGTATTTATATTCGGTAATAATGTAACTTAAAGCTGTATTTATATTCGGTAATCATGTAACTTAGAATTATAATTATAATCGTTAATAATGTTACTTAAAGCTATATTTATAATCGGTAATAAAGCAACTAAAAGCTGTATTTATATCGGTAAAAATAATATAACTTACAGCTGTACTTATATTCGGTAATAATGTAACTTAAAGCAATATTTAGATTTGGTAATAATGTAACTTAAAGCTATATTTATAATCGTTAATAATGTAACTTAAAGCTGTGTTTATAATCGGTAATGATGTTACTTAAAGCTGTGTTTATAATGAGTAATAATGTAACTTAAAGCTATATTTATAATCGGTAATAATGTAACTTAAAGCTGTGTTTATAATCGGTAATAATAATAATGTGACTTACAGCTGTATTTATATTCGGTAATAATGTAACTTAAAGCTGTATTTATATTCGGTAATATTGTAAGTTAAAGCTATATTGATAATCGTTATTAATGTAACTTAAAGCTATATTTATAATCGTTAGTAATGTAACTTAAAGCTATATTTATATTGGTAATAATAATGTAACTTACAGCTGTATTTATATTCGGTAATAATGTAACATACAGCTGTATTTATATTCGGTAATAATGTAACTTAAAGCAATATTTAGATTCGGTAATATTGTAACTTAAAGCTATGTTTATAATCGTTAATGATGTAATTTAAAGCTGTGTTTATAATCGGTAATAATAATAATGTAACTTACAGCTGTATTCATATTTGGTAATATTGTAAGTTAAAGCTATATTTATAATCGTTATTAATGTAACTTAAAACTATATTTATAATCGGTAATAATGTAACTTGAAGCTTTATTTATATTCGGTAATAATGTAACTTAAAGCTATATTTATAATCGGTAATAATGTAACTTCAAGCTGTATTTATATTCGATAATAATGTACCTTAAAGCTATATTTATAATCATTAATAATGTAACTTAAAGCTATATTTATATTCGACAATAATGTACCTTAAAGGTGTGTTTATAATCGGTAATAATAATGTAACTTACAGCTGTATTTATATTCGGTAATAATGTAACTTACAGCTGTATTTATATTCGTTAATAATGTTACTTAAAGCTGTGTTTATAATCGGTAATAATAATGTAACTTACAGCTGTATTAATATTCGGTAATAATGTAACTCAAAGCTATATTCATAATCGTTTATAATGTAACTTAAAGTTATATTTATAATCGGTAATAATGTAACTTCAAGCTGTATTTATATTCGATAATAATGTACCTTAAAGGTGTGTTTATAATCGGTAATAATAATGTAACTTACAGCTGTATTTATATTCGGTAATAATGTAACTTACAGCTGTATTTATATTCCGTAATAATGTAACTTAAAGCAATATTTAGATTCGGTAATAATGTAACTTAAAGCTATATTTATATTCGGTAATAATGTAACTTAGAATTATAATTATAATCGTTAATAATGTAACTTAAAACTATATTTATAATCGGTAATAATGTAACTTAAAGCTCTATTTATATTCGGTAATAATGTAACTTAGAATTATAATTATAATCGTTAATAATGTAACTTAAAGCTATATTTATAATCGGTAATAATAATGTAACCTACAGCTGTATTGACATTCGGTAATAATGTAAGTTAAAGCTATATTTATAATAGTTATTAATGTAACTTAAAGCTATATTTATAATCGGTAATAATGTAACTTAAAGCTGTATTTATATTCGGTAATAATGTAACTTAGAATTATAATTATAATCGTTAATAATGTAACTTAAAACTATATTTATAATCGGTAATAATGTAACTTCAAGCTGTATTTATATTCGATAATAATGTACCTTAAAGGTGTGTTTATAATCGGTAATAATAATGTAACTTACAGCTGTATTGAAATTCGGTAATAATGTAACTTACAGCTGTATTTATAATTGGTAATAATGTAACTTACAGCTGTATTTATATTCGGTCATAATAATGTAACTTACAGTTGTATTTATATTCGATAATAATGTAACTTACATCTGTATTTATATTCAATAATATTGTAACTTACAGCTGTATTTATATTTGGTAATAATGTAACTTAAAGCTATATCTATAATTGGTAATAATATAACTTTTGTTGATTTCATCTACACTTATACTAAGCCTTCGCTCAGAAAAAACCCTAAGCTCTTCTTTTCTTACGGCTTTCCAGTGGCACAGCGGTATGTCTGCAGACTTAATGCTAGAAACCGAGTTTCGATACTCGTGGTGGGCAGAGTGCAGATAGCCCTTGTGTAGCTTTGTGCTTAACTTCAAAACAACAACATCTTTATTATGTATATAGAGAGAAAGAAGGAGAGAATAAGAAGATTTTTATTCATTAAGTTCATCCACCATAATGTGCAATAACCATAAATTTACTATCTGGAAACAAACTATAGTTTTGGGGAGATATTGGTTTGCACTTTGCACAACAAATGTTTATTCTATTAATAGATATATATATTAAATCTATCGCCTAGGAGAAAGATCGTACAATACGCCAGCATTCTCGTATTATATGTTATAATATATAACTTCTAAACAGAAGAGTAAAAGAAGAAGTGAACAAGAAAGCTGCAGCTGAATGGGAAGAGACTGCCAAGAAAGATTATCAATATTTAAGAGTTAGACTATTTCATTTGAGATTGTTTGTTTATTTTAGAGCAAAACCACATTGGGCTATAAGCTTCAATAAAAATGAACCAAACCAAACTAATTTACCTTCTCAGATATAGTAGCTGACAAACTAAAAAGTAAAATTGTAGAATATATCTGAGTAGAAGAGATATTTAAGGATGTAAGACTTTCTCAAATTTAACCAATTTATAGACTTAGCCAATATTAGATCCCTCAACCAGTGCCAGGCGTGGCCCAGTACTTAGTTCGCCCAGATTGTGAATCCGAGTTTATTTGACATCATATTAAGTGAATTATATACATATTTGTAATCTGCTGTTTAGTAAAGCATATTTTAAGCTCTAAACATTAACATATCAGTTGGGTGAGGTTATGTCAACTATGGTATTTTTTCCGTTAGAATCGGTATTGACCAAGTTATTTTTCGTTGGCTTTTGCCATCCTGGTGTGTCACACGTATAGCTATAGGTTATATACCTATATCTATTTTCAAATATAAGAATATCTTATTCGTTTCTCGCAGACGGTTAACCTTGCTCCCAGCTGTGTAAACGAGAAAAATCAACCCTTGAGGATTACGTCATCCGATAATTTACCTCGACGAGACAGCGCCCTCTGATTTTATGATGTCATTATCGTTATCAGATAGTAATTCTAAATTTTATTGTAAGTATACCTCTAATATACGATACAAGTATTTAAAATTCGGTTTTGTGGCACTTTTTGTTTTCTGTCATGAAATGAAAACAGCTAGAATAATAAACACTATATACAGTTTCATGTAAGTTTCGAAAACAAAGATCTTTGTTGACCAGTTCGTGTGGGAGGAAGAGTTATTTTCCGTTTAATTCGATAATTTCATCCTCTTCTCGGAGTGATCGAAAACTAAATATAATTTTTAATAATTAAGTAAGTAAATTAACGTTAATTTTATAAAGTTGTAATTGATAAATGAAGAGACATTTACAATTTGGAAATTACAAGAAAAACAAGAAACTAATTTATGTAGTTTTCTAGCACTTGAACTGAGAAGTACTTTATTCTATTATGCGTTTCATGTTCATAAAGGGTAATCAGGAATGAACTCAACTGATGTTATTTTTTTATATTGATTTTTAGTTTCCGTGTTATTAAATTTCGAGTTACCAACAGTTTTTGTTTCTTTATCCTTTATCTATGTTGTCAAATGTATCTGATTTGGTTCTGTGTTTCCATTTCTCGCATTTCTTCTTTGTATATATTTTAGTGGATGTTATGGAAGTTCATGAATGTTAGTCACATCATGAAAACATAGCTATAGAATTATGGTGATTCATAGATCAAGAAGTTTAGTTAGTTTTCTAGGAAAAAATAACAATAGAATTATGGTGATTCATAGATCAAGAAGTTTAGTTAGTTTTCTAGGAAAAAATAACAATAGAATTATGGTGATTCATAGATCAAGAAGTTTAGTTAGTTTTGTAGGAAAAAAATAACAATATAATTATGGTGATTCATAGATCAAGAAGTTTAGTTAGTTTTGTAGGAAAAAAATAAAAATATAATTATGGTGATTCATAGATCAAGAAGTTTACTTAGTTTTCTAGGAAAAATAACAATAGAATTATGGTGATTCATAGATCAAGAAGTTTAATTAGTTTTCTAGGAAAAAATAACAATAGAATTATGGTGATTCATAGATCAAGAAGTTTAATTAGTTTTCTAGGAAAAAATAACAATATAATTATGGTGATTCATAGATCAAGAAGTTTAATTAGTTTTCTAGGAAAAAATAACAATAGAATTAAGGTGATTCATAGATCAAGAAGTTTAGTTAGTTTTCGGATATTCGCGCAAATTACTCAAGAACTATCTGCACTAGCCGTCCTTAATTATAACTGATATACTAGAAGGAATGTAGATAGTCATCACTCACCACCAACTCTTGAGTTAATCTGAGTGATTAGTGGCGGTAAAAAGAGGCGAATGAAATACCCGTAGATCAGTAGTCCAACATATAAAACAGTGGCAACGTTTCTCAATCACCAAACAACGTCCTCGAGAACGCATTTTAATTAGAAAAAAGATAAATTACTTATCTGACATCCAATGGCATGTCGAGGAATTACTTAACTGACATCCAATGGCACGTCGAGGAATTACTTATCTGACATCCAATGGCACGTCGACCATTTAAAAGTTTTTATTTGCATTTTTGTTTGAAGAAGAGTTGTTTGTTAAAACTTTAATTATACAAGTAAAACACTGAAATAAAGCTGATTTTACAAAAAGTAAAAATTGAATGCGCGGCAGTCTATCTAAGAAGTCAGATTGGCGGTGAAACTGTTTAGATAAAGTAATAGGCATTCATTTGTCGTTACATACAGTAAAAGTGAGTAACAGCTGTATGTAAAAGAGGTAATGTTCTATATACAGTTGTCTGTGGTGGTGCAGACCAGCAGCTATCACCACGTGTAGCCCTGAGAAAATCTGGTTCTGCAATTTACTGAGTTTGAGTTCGTATAAAAAAATGAACACTTCGGTGAACAGTTATGTGTACAAAAGGTAAAACTGGAGTTAATGAATTTGAAGTCAAACAGGGATAAAGATGTTGATAAACAAAGTAAAATAGGAGATGAAATTCATATCGTATGAGTTGACGTTGGTTGGTAATAAGTAGAAATATCATTAGTATCTGTTTTATTGTAGTGTCATATCGCACTTGCTGCCAGCTAAGAAATGCATCTTTTATATAGAAGTAAGATTGGAGTTGCAGCTAGCAAGACTGCAGCGAAACCTTATACTTAGAAAAGAAGACTTGGAGTTACAAATTTTTAAATAGAAGTAAGCATTGGTTACATCAAGCAAGATTGTAGTGTAACTCTAAATTTAAAAAGGATGGCTTAGAGTTACAGCTTTTTATACAGAAGTAAGACTTAAGTTACAGCAAGCAAGACTAAGTCGAAACTCTATTCTTAGAAAAGAAGCCTTAGAGTTATAACTCTGTGAAAAACACAATTTAGTGAAAACTGTTAACTCTAAGACATAAAACGAGTGCAGCTGTGTGTATTAAATGTAATATACAGCTATGTGGGAAAGAAGTAAAATAGGGATACAGCCGTGTGTTCATGTGTGTAAGACCTAATTTGATGGATATAATTGTCTGTATCTCTAGATCAAAATTATCCTGATATACGAGTGAAAGAATAAGAAGTATGATTGTGAATACAGTTGTTTTGATAAACAATGTAACTGTAGTATTTGGTATTTTCAGCAGTAACTGTGCCTTTTACGATAAACGGAATAGACACCAATGTATTTTTAAAAATATGATTCATGGATAGCTGTCCCTAATTTTGAACTTCTGACTGAGAAATTGAAACAAGCCATTAACACCCACTGCTTGGACAGCTACTTTTAACTCAATAGTGGGATTTACTGTCATTTTTATAACACGCACACGCCTGAAAGTAACGAGCGTGTTATAACTACAGTAAAGCTGTCTTATAAGAAGTATACTTATGAGTAAATCTGTCTCTATAACAAGTGTAACTGTAAGTAAATGTTTCTCTATAAGAATTATAATACTAAATAAAGCTGTCTGTCTCTAGACGAAGCACAACTGTACGTAAAGCTGCCTCTAGAAGTATAATTGTGAGTACAGCTGCTTGTATCTATAAGAAGTATAATTGTGAGTAAAGCTGCTTGTGTCTATAAGAAGTATAATTGTGAGTATAGCTGCTTGTATCTGTAAGAAGTGTAATTGTGAGTACAGATGCTTGTATCTGTAAGTTATAGATACAAGCAGCTGTACTCACAATTACACTTGTTATAGATACAAGCAGCAGTACTCACAATTATACTTCTTATAGATACAAGCAGCTGTACTCACAATTATACTTCTTATAGACACAAGCAGCTTTACTCACAATTATACTTCTTACAGATACAAGCAGCTGTACTCACAATTATACTTCTTATAGATACAAGCAGCTGTACTCACAATTATACTTCTTACAGATACAAGCAGCTGTACTCACAATTACACTTCTTATAGACACAAGCAGCTTTACTCACAATTATACTTCTTATAGACACAAGCAGCTTTACTCACAATTACACTTCTTATAGATACAAGCAGCTGTACTCACAATTACACTGATAGATACAAGCAGCTGTACTCACAATTACACTTGAAGTGATACAAATACAAATACAGATCGACACCCATTGGCTGTGAACATTTTTTTTTTCTGTTAGTTGTCGACCACCCGTAATTAGTAATGAGTAAATACAAAATATAGTGACATAGGCACACGCTACTTATTCCATTAATTAAAAAAAAATTCTAACGGTCTACGTATAACAGTGTACGGAACTTCTTTCAGTAAGATAGTGACCCCTGTGAATTCACTTGTAGAGACGATTGTTACTTTTCAGAGAAGGAGTTCAATATTGATTTTACAAACGAGCTGTATCCTCAATTCTACTTGGACGCCAGTATCTGTACAAAAATAAATACCCAAATCTTCCCCTTATTCAGATAGTTTTTACTCGAATCTTACTTCCTATATAACCAGTACACTTGTTATAGATACAAGCAGCTGTACTCACAATTACACTTGTTATAGATACAAGCAGCTGTACTCACAATTACACTTGTTAGCTAGCTGTAAAGTGAAAAAACTACTATTTTGACAGGTTGTATCCCCTCGGGAATTTGGTGGAAGGATCGTCTTTGTTTGCTGATGAATTAAAGTTTACCTACGGATACTTTAGGTTGTCAATATTAAATTTCTAAGCCACTCCATTTGCTTGTTTAAATACAATTTGGCGTGGATAGTAACATTTATATAGACGTTGATTTGCATACGTAAACATACAGAAACCTATCAACGGATGAATACGTTTCACAACATTCTCTAATGCCCTTGACCTTTACATTATTTTAGGTTGTGCATCTTTCTTTCCCTTCTAAGTGTGTGCGTGAATAAACAATGTCCAAACACAACTGTTCATGATGAGATTTAAACCTCAAATCACTGATTTGTTTATTTACCGTTCACTGCCGGATGGGTCCACCATATGTTACCTCAGTTTGAATAGTTTTTGTCCGTGAAAAGACTCATAGTAAAGAAATGACCAAACAAACTAATTGAAATCAACCGTTTTATATGTAAAAATACAAAGTGGATTCATGTAAATATTAGTGTGATTAGTTGTAATATTGGTGCTATCTCTCTCTTTACAATTTGTGTGATTCATGTACCATTAGAGACTCTGTAACCACCAGCAAGCGGACAAACGAGCAGTTAAATGCACAGATAAGTAAGAAAACTATTTTTTTAAAGTCAGTTGGATCCTCTCCTCATCGATAATTGTATGGTAACAAATAAAATAAATCATAAGTTCCAGTCAGTATTACAAGATATGAAACAAAAATCAGTTAGAACGAAATATTTTTCACGGAAAGCAGCAAAAGATGGATAAATTATATTACCATAAATATCATGTCTGAATTAGATGCTATATTTATTCCCTAATTTAAATATGCTTAGCTTTTGTTTGTTTGCTGTTGAGAATAAAGCTACATGACGAGCTATCTGTGTTGTGCCCACAACGAATATCGAAACCTGGTTTTTAGCGTTCAGACATACCTCTGAGCCACTGGGAGTCTTAGCTTTAGC